GGTTACTGACATGCGGTTACAATATCTTTTTACTGTATTTTTATTTGATTGCTAATACGTACGTGACTTAAAATCGATTTTGTTTTGTTTCTAGTCATTAATTTAAAATCTATCAATGTTTATTACTTTCACTTTATAAGATACATAGTCGAAAAGATTTTTGTTTCAATTATTTTTGTATAGATTGGTTGAAGATGATCACGATAAGGAGGATCGAAACGTTCTCTAATAAATTTATCAGCATTATCTCATTACTTTTCATCACTATTAACTGTGGACTGGAGCTCACAGACTTATTTATTATTTGAGATTTTTTCATTTAAGGGCTTATTATTATAATTAAATATTGTATTTTTTAAAATATCGTTATTCGATAGGTATTTAGGCACAGTGTATCTACATGTATTGTCCGTGTTGCTCACGGATATTTGCTCGTCCTGTGCATTGTATGTACATCCAAGAACGAAACAGTGTAGCTGGTTTATATCGCGAGAGGGGTCGCGCCTATTTGCACAGGCGCATCATATTGCGGTAATGTTCGTCCCGAGGTCACGCAATCATCATTGCATAATCGTCGTTTACATTATCGTGCGTTATGCTCCCGCACGATATTCATCTCGTAATGCACACGCCAAATGTGCGACAAATATGTTAATTATTACGTTCACAAGATTCTTACGTTAATATTATTATTCGCCGGAAAACGGGCGCACCTCAGTCAGAGTGTCTCGACATTTAAAATATCCATTATTGTTGCAGCGTTGCGCAGCTTAATTAAATATGCAGCTACTCTTAACATTCTTCGTTGCTTTATCGAATTACAACTACGTAATATTTTTCAAGATGTCTTAATTAAATTGCTTGCGACATTGCGTGCGCGTAATGATCTTTGCGTCAAAAGTCACACGGAACTCTATCGTATAGATAGCGAGAAACAATTTAAGCAGGAAATCTGATTAGTTTCCTCAAAAAAAGTTAATTGTTTTTTTCGGAGGGAAAAAAAACATTAGTTTGCTCTGTAATAATTTTTTTTTATTATCAAGCTCTGAGAGGAGAATGGATATTAATCGTAGTCCCGCGAACAATACAAATCACCACCCGTTTGAATTCGAAGCCATTTCACATGTTCGCTAACATGTCAACGAGCGTGTAACCAACACACGAAGGATGATGATGATTGCATAACGCGTCGCGAAAAGGCTAAACTGATGGCGCAGTTTGGACCGTAATAGCACACACCACGATCAGATTGTTGTTTATCGAAATGAGACAGCGATTGCACGATGATTGATGCGAGGAGACTTTAATTATGCGCGTGCATTACATAACGCGATCGCCGGATAACTTTGCAACGCGTTTCGAAACACGCAATTAATTAAATGTAAAACTTAAATTGAAAGGAGAGTGAGGGATTAAAACCTGAAGTTAAAACTGAAGGAAAAATTTTTAAGCGGATCAATATCTCATTTTCAAGTTTAATATTTTTCTCGCGTACGCAAACTTACGATGTCAATAAAAGTTAAAGTGTATCACATCGGTCGCACAAGTGTCGGTTATTACGCACGTGCGAATTACGTAGAACGTATTTACTGTTGGCGTGACCAACGTCACCGGCACCATTAGCGAATCCAACGTCGGAGAACAAATGTGCTTGACCTTTTAATGTACGAACGTGAGCCGCGTAGGTGTGTGTGTGTGTGTATGTGTGTGTGTATATGTGTGTCCTGTGCTACCTATTCTCATCTCATTTGCGGTAAGAGCATAGCGGTTTGTCTTATCCCCCGTTGCACGGGGAATGATAGTTAATGGAAAAAAATTCAATTAACGATGCACGGTGTGTGTCAGCGATTATGAAGCGAACGAGTATTGTGCTGTGCGCATTCGCTGTGCACAAGTGTAAGAAGATGTCAAGCGTACTGCAGCCGAGCGTGTCGTGGTTAATTAATATGCGAGCTCTGCGAGTTTTGAATTAGCCGGAATACGACTGTAATATTGTTTGAATATTACAGTCACGATTCGACGTTCTTATCTCTCGTTCTGTTTTTCTATGAGATAAAGTTTTTCTTTTTAAATTACAATAGTAATTTACCAGATAGAATTTTAAGATGTGCTCTCGGTATCGGCTAAATTTCACACCATTTATTCAAATAATTATAACGTAAAGCGCGCGACGAAACGAAAGCGTGAGAATTTATGGTTTTTAGGATCAATGATATTATAGCGATATAATGGAAATTAAATTGAATGGGCGTGCCGCTTTAATTGCAAGCGTTACGATTGATTATTAAGTTTTTCGTGATTTTGTAATAGACGTGGGCGTTTCAACGAAGCGAATAACGGTGTCTGACATAATTATTGCGCAAGTGCAGCCATTAGAACCGTAATTAATGGAAAGATTCGGTTGACAGACTGCGGACGGTCGTAAAATTCTCCCGTGGATGATGATTAATACATACGTATAAGTGTACTTTTGTATTCGTTAAATATGCCACTTGATTTACTTGCAGAATGACGTTTATTTGTGAAATAACGAACAACGGGGAGTATAAAATAAATGTTAATAATTCATTGTTAGTAAATTATACTCGGGGGGCTTGACTGATTATATTGGCGAATAACAATTACTGTTTCCTGCTGATTACGGTAATTACAGATACACTGCAATTTTACAACCTGTGAACAACCGTGTTTAAACGTGCAGCACAGATTGCGATTTTCGTCCGTGCGGAGACACGATCTGTTATTTTATCAAATAATTGAAAATTACTCATTAAAATGTAAATAAACAAACATGGACGTTTGCGCAAACACGATTTTCCATATTTTCTTATTTATTCATTATATTTCTCAGGGTCAACAACACGCACACCCACACACACAAGTAACACACATATGTCAAAATGTCATAACATACGTCATTCGACTTTATATTAAATTCCATCGATGACAAATATTTACTACGTAGTTTACAGTCTTTGGATTATTTATATAAATAATTTATCAAAGCAGAAGGTAATTGTAATCAGTCAAGAGAAATATGAAACTATTCCATTATGCACAAACGCGAGCGATATTGTCGTGCGCAAGTAATGTGTATTATATATATATATATATACGTGTGTGTTTTGCAACACCCTCGCGTTCCAATATAATTACTAGTCAGATCGATAACCGTCGTAGCCAAATTGAATGGGCTAAACTGTAATTTCACGTTTATACTTCCAATCACACGCATCATGCATCGTGCTCGCAGTTATTGGACTTCAGTGTAAAACCTGATTAAACATGGTTTCAATTTATTTTACAATAAGTTGGCTAGGAATGTATTTAATATTTCGTGCGAAAGAAAAACATCTTTTTTTTTTTCAGCACACATGAATACGCACGTAAAATGTGTTGTAATAATTTCTTTAAAAAGACAATCTCTCAACAATACGAGTGCGAATACCTATATACGGTCAAACCTCTATAAGACGAAAATTTTGTTCACTTCCTTCCGCTCCGCGGAAAGGAAAAAAACATTTCGATGAGTCGAAACCTCTACAATTCAAAGATTTTAGTTCTTCTCTTGAGATTCGAGTTATCGAGGTTTGACTTTACATTTCGATAAGTCGAAACCTCTACAGGTCGAAGATTTTAGCTCTTCCCTTGAGATTCGAGTTATCGAGGTTCGACCGCGTACAGTCGAACCTCGATAACTCGAATCTCAAGGGAAGAGCTAAAATCTTTGAGTTGTAGAGGTTTCAACTTATCGAAGTTCTCTTTTCCTTTCCACGGAGCGGAAGAGAATGAACATAAATTTTCGTCTTATAGAAGTTTTCGAGTTATAGAGGTTCGAGTTATCGAGGTGAGTGTATATGTAGATATATGCGCGAATGCGACAAATGAGAGAAAAATGTATTTTTCCTGACAAAACTAACAGAACGTGTTTACGGAAAATTTTGCTTGATAAATTATGCAAGTTGCCATCTGCGTCGTGAGTTTACAGAGACATTCCGTGTGCTTGTCGTGTGCGCATAAATTACATCGTCATGCTGCGGATCCACGGAATGATTAGAGCATAATATCAGACAGATATGAGATTTTGCATAAAATATTTTGCAAAGTTAGGTTAGGTTAGGTTTGTTTTTGAACTCGTCGGTAGCCTTCCGTTAAATTAAAGAAAAAACATTGCAATTAACATATTTATGAAGTTTGATGTACAATCTTGTACGTGAAGTGAATTTTGAAATCACAAGAAAAGATCGCTCTGTGTGCGCGTGTGTGACACATCAGTGACTATTTGTTGGGTTATGTGTGCTTTCACGACTTGCACGCATGTAGTATCTTTGCCGCGAGATTCGAGATCGACGTGCGACTCGAGTTCAGATGTAGATGTTTCGGTTATGTCATGGTGACGTTTTTTTCGGAGAGTTTTTATATGGACTGGTAGCATGTAGAATGTTCAATAAGTGTAAATATTGTAACTGTATTAGTATAGGTATTGTATCTATACTTTATCAGAGGCTGTTCTTGAAACTCTGATGAAATGAGCCGAAAAACATCTTCGAATGTATTGCAGTCAATGAGAGTCGCAACTTCCTCCGTGGCAACGGCTGATTTCAGGATAAACAGTCGTTCTTTTCACTTTCGTCTTTCTCTTGTCAGTCGGACATCTTTCGTTCATTCGTCAACTTCTTTCCGTCTCGTTCACACGTTTTTTATTTAACAGTTGTATTTTTATTGAATTTCTCGACAAGAAACACAACAGAATGTTCAAGTGTTTTCGTTGTTAAAAGCTTAAATACAAAAAAGTTCTGTTACCGAATTTTAATTTCGCAACTTTTACACACGACAAAACACTATTCTTTCGGCTTGAGAATGAGCATTCAGATCTTTTTTCGAAATGATCAAAATAATTCTTCGAGTGCGTCGGTAGATGTATCTTGTTTGTAAATATCTAATCATGCACTTGATTTCTCTACATTATTATAATCAACTTTCTACTTGTACTGTTACAGCTGGAACTGCCATGGAGAATGGTTACTTCAGTCCATGGAGACAATGCAAATACCTTCTTTACTTACGAGAGTCGTGCGGCACACAAGTCAGATTTCAACCAGTGTGTAAGTTTCATTTTATACGCCACTATAAAGAACAATGTTTAGTATAGTTTTACGTTTTCTGTTAACGATATATATTTTTAACTCACTGGAGCTAGCTCCATCTTGTCCGAATCGAATAAAAATTAGTATTACGAGCAATTTATGAACTTTCAAATTTAGGGTTAAAATTTTGAGCATGTTGACGTAAGAATTTCAATTTTTTGGTGGAAGGAGGGAGCGCAGTTCAAGCCGAAACTCTGTCAAAAAGTTGAAATTTCTGCTTCGACAAACAAGCAATAAAAAAGTTTGACCTGATGGATTTGAAAGTTCATAAATAGCTCGTAGTTCTGAAATAATTTTCATTCGATTCGGAAAAGATAAGAAGTATATTTTTATTATTTTCTGACAAAAGTACAAAGTAGTTGAAAGTACATAATCGTACTTAATTAAAAGCTACAGTGTCAGCGAATACAAATTTTCGTAGTTTGCAATTTTATTGTTCCGGCAACTTTCAAAATTGATGAGAAAAAACTAACTTTATTCTTGATAATTGAAATTTAAACCGATGTGTTCCTCACGCAGTTTCTCATGCAAAAAACAAAATTCATTTTTATGAACGACAACACTATGAATATCACACGATTAAAAAAATTTCTCGTTTCTCAATTTTCTTATCATTATACAGCTTATTGTATTACCGGAAAATACGCACATAAGTAAAAAGCGATTAGAGAATTACCGTGCTCTAAAAATAGCCGGAACAAAAGACTGGCAAAAGCGCGCGGGATTACACAATGAAACGCAATAGAATTACGAGCGCGAGTCTTCCTTTATTTCCAGTGGCTGTGTGGGTGGCGGGATTAGCTGCCGCCGGCGCTTCTGCCCTTTTGGCGATTCTGGTCGCTCTGACTGTGCTTCAATTAGCAATGGCCTCTTCTGCGAAGAGAGTTGTAATTTCGTACAGCACCGCTTTAATAGGCAAAGTTGCCTTCGCTACATTGGCAAGTAAGTAACACGAATTCTCATCTCGTTGTTCTAATATAGGGATAGACGGCATCGAGCAGAAACGTATAAAGATATATAGTCCTAAAACAAAGTAGCGATTTTCCTCTCTATCTGCCGGCTTATACATTTACCAGGAGTTCACGTTATACATGTATAAGTAAGGTTGCAACGTGAAAGGTTGCAACTTAGCGAGTCTCTTAGAGGAAACTCTTATTATTAAATATATACTCTATGTTATTATTAGACGGGATTATTATTAAAAGGGCCGTCACATTTATATTTGTATAAATTATATATATAAAAATTTATACATATGTATATATGTGTATATATATGTATATATATATATCTTAAAACTTCTTTTTTTTTACTCTTCTTGCTTGTTTTTATGTACTAAATATTGCACAATAAAAGATTTAAAAGTTATGGCGAGTGTAAGAGTCACAAAACGTGAGACAATGAAATGAATTCAAATCACATTCGAGACAAGTTCTTTTTATGCGTCGCCGCGTCTAGTTTTGCAATACTACAAACACGTAGTAAACTTGCCATTCGTACTACGTCTACTGGCTGGCCTACTTACAACGAGGTATCGAATGTCAGTGTTAGACCGTATTACGACCGAAGCGAAGCAATATATATTTCACTACCAAGAGAGAGAGAGAGAGAGAGAGTTTTCTTTCACCGCGCGCTAATAACTTGACTTGTAAATTAAGATAACGTCGAGTATTATATCCCACGCCAACACATATTCGATGTCCAGTCATATAGTTTTACAATTAATTTCACTGATTGAGAAAGTTAATTGGAATTATTAATATAAATTTTCAAATAAACTACGCGTCATTGTTATAGGAAAAGTTTGTGTAAAATATACTGTTTTCGTTGTTTAAACTAAAAATAAAATTGTTTATAATTAAAATAATTTAAAAAATATTGCATTATTTGATATTTCTTTTTCAGCGACTTTGTCGATAGTAGCGGCGAGTCTCTTTGCTTTACAAACGGACGACCGAGCCAATAGCTTCGTTGTTACGAGAGGAGAAGGTTTTTATATGCAGGTAAAGTAATACTCGTTCTAGCGGACACGATAAAAAACTTATTGATCTTGCTTTAATTTATCACATCTCAGTTGACATAGTTATCATTTCTCAGAATTGAGGACTTTGTCAACAAAAAGCGTTCTGTAAACAATGCGTGCACAATATTTCTTTTTTTTTTTTGACGATAAAATGCAAATAATTCAAAGATTATACGTGAGCTACATGATAATAAGATCGAGTAATAAATATTTCAGATATTTTTTGCGTACACATTCGCATTAGCATCACGTGTCGAATTAATAAAATTTATTTGTTGCTAATTTATTAAATTTGTACGGGTTGTACACGTTGAGAATAAATAACGTGATAATTTTACTAATAAACGTGTTCCTCTTTAACCGATTTCTGCTCTTGAATTAACGATACGCTGTTAACAACTTCAAAGACTTTATGAGTGCTCTACGTGTCTGTGTCTCTAATCGCTTCCACTGATGTATCATCAGAACACGTTCGTTTCACGTCTTTCACTGGGTGACAGAACCTGTTGCACGCGGAAGATATTGTACGCTCTGTATTTGCCGGTTTGGCACGTATACGCTCTTTGGTGCACGAGTGAGATATAGCGCTGCTTAAAATTTATCGTAGAAACGATCAGAAATAAACCAATATTGTAATATGCACAATTAATTTTTTATAACATATAATAAATATTACTCATATAATATTTATACACTCTAAATGTGAACGTGAGAGAAAGAGAGAATTATTTGCGATTTTTAGGTTTTTTAAATTCTTTGAACATAATACCCATGAATTAAATCTACTTTTTCATTTTTCAATAATTGCTTTTATATTAAAATATTTTAGTTTTAATATCTTTCTACATTTTATGAAAATTTATAGAAAAAAATTTGCTCATAATAATACGAAGTAAAGTTTGTTTTTATTTTTCTTTCTGCTTGTTTTATATCACCACCTCATTTTTGTCAAATCCTAGGTTTGATATGTATTGACAAAAATATAAGTGAATCTTTTTAATAGTACGCTTAATCCTAACGAGTATTGCCACATGTTCCGAAATGTACAATATTATTTATTCAATATTTCAATTTCAGCTAACTTTTTTTTATAGATTTTTCATAAAAATGTTTTTTTACAAAATATAGAAAGGTATTAACAAATATTTAAAAACTAAAAACACTATTCTTAAAAATTAGAGTTATTATGTTTAAGGATTTCAGATCAAAAATCACAAAATGAAACTCTCGTCTACGTTCACATCTAATGTGCACAAATGTTATATAAGTATTTCTCTTAAAAATTCAAACTACTTTCATATTTCCACCACTTCCTCTTCTACGAATATATCGCAGACGTTCTAGTATATCAATGAATGGGAGTGTATAGATATAGTAGGATTTATGTAAAATTAAAAGGAGGTCGCGAGACAAACGACGCATATCCGTCCTGCTCGATTGTGCGAGAGATATCCTTCCGCTCGCGTGGTAGCGAATTGACCAGCCGGGAAACGCACATATCTGACCGGAGAATTAAACGCTCACCTGATCGTGAACAGGGAGCTCAGGTGTACTCTTAAGTCCCCCTCTTGCTAACGCGACTTAGTTAGTATGTGCCTAAGCGGCCGCGACTCGTAGATACTTTTAAAACAATGAGTCGACATTGGCGAACCCGCAGTGAGTGTTTCGGAGCGGATCGTTAATGAACTCGTCGTGGTGTCCTCGTTCTCAACGTCACGATAAGTGAATTTCTTTCTTTCGTTCTCGTTTACGCGGGCCACGCTCGCGTCGTAAACAAAAATAACACAAAGTTTATATATCGTAGCAGTTTTTGCATTGTGAAACGTATTAATTAACTTTCTTTTCCCAACGACGAGCGCTTTCTTTTCGACTCTCTCGTAAAAAAAAATCCGAAGTAAAATCGAACAACGTCTCTGAGTGATCAGTTTAATATTTTCGGCTCGCGTGCGATAAAGTTCGTCAGCAGAAATTCCTTGTGGCGCGTTAGACTTGTGTCTCGCGTTTGATGCGAGAGAATGATATGCTGATATTTTTTCGTCGAAAACACACGATGATGGATAAAAGAAAACGGAATCTCTTGAAGGGGGCCAAGGACGAAATCGAATTGGACAGAATGAACAAGCAGAAACAAGGCAAGGTAACGCCATTGTTTTTTCCCGAAAGAGTTTAATCGAGTTAATGCTTTCGCTTTTGCTCCCAATATCAATCGATCATGTCAGTGACATTAGTCAATACGGAACAATTTTTTGAGACAGATTATTTGAAAATAGATGGAAACGTGTTTGAGACATTTTTTTTTTAGAGTTTATTCTTCACACAAAGTAATTCCACATACATTAAATATGTGATTCCCGCGCTGATATTCTTGCGTTATGTTTAAAAATATCAAAGTTCTTATTCACTCTCTATGTAGAAACTTAATTTTCAATTAAAAACAATGATGGTGCCTTTTTGTTTCTCGCGCATATGAAGTGAATTAAATAATTTTGGTTGTACAATTAAATGTTTTATGAAACAACGTAAAAATAAAAATGACGACGTTTTAAACAAAATTGCGCGATTGTGGTGAAATCGCGCAAACATTATTCAGTTCATTCGACTGAAGAGTGATTTTTTTCTTCAGTCCAGTCTCTTGTAAAGACTCCCGTTTAACGTTTGCTATCATTTTTTTTTTTTTTCCGCTTCTGTATCGCGTGTTGCTTCTTCTCGTGTGTATGTAGCTGGCAAAAAAAAAGCTCCTGTCTGAAGCGGCAGGAAAAATAACCACTGGCTGGAATAATCGGAAGGGGTTAGGATATCGCACACGGAAAGCACGCTGGCGTGTACCGGCGTGCGGCTACTTGTGCGCTCTCTTTTATCACGTTTCTCTGTGAAGCGTCGCGATATGCACGTCCCCAAGGAGGACAAAAAGAAAGGAGGCAAACACCGGACGACGAGATTAATTATAGCGATGTGACAACAATATCACGACACGCGCGCCTTCTTTGTTAGCCCTAATGAAATTCTTTCCCCTTTCTCGCGCTCCTTCCATACAGCCGATTATCACCACCTACGGGCGGTGCTTCCCCATCTCGTGTCGATAGTGTAAACCGACGACGTGACTATTCCAGTTGCTCGCACGCTGCGTAAGAAATGACGTGTCCGAGAGAGACGTACGTATACGCGTTAGTCCGCTCTCCGAGTTATAATATGAGCCCGCTTAGTGTTCGCCGACAAAACGCAAGTTCGTTTTTGTTATTAAGCAAACGGTACTTGTATAAGAGATATCGAAAAACATCTACGTGAACAGATGACGAAAGATTCAAATGAAGATTATGTAAAATTTGAAGTCAATCGGATGGTTACAGAACAAGTTTGACAAATGTTGTTTTTGTTTCTTTTATCTCTGTCAAGAAAAAACGCGATCGATGTCTCAGTACTAAAGCGTTACCGCGGATATTTTGATTACAAACGAATCGTTTTTTTTTTTTATTGTTTATTGTTACAGTTGGCTGCCATCGCCCTGAATTTTGGTGTGCTGGTTTCAGCCATCTACGAAGGCATTTACGCTCGAAGAGGAGGCGATCCGACCAAGATTAGGGTCGTAACAGATCCTCGTGCAGCCACAATAAATAATCCAGGATATCGGGAATATCACCAACCTACGAACGGTAAGGCCAAATAAATATATAACAGTCGTTTCATTTCGCCGGAGTTCTGAAATCGCACATTGTTATTTGTGTGTCGTATTTGTTCAAGACGTGTGTGACATCGAGCCGCGATGGATGATCGAGACGTTATTAACGCAATACGTTTATATTCAAAACACAATCCATTTAGCGCGAAATTGTGTTTTTTATTTTATTATTCGCTCCTGTCGAATATAAAAACGTAAAGAGATGATATGATTTAATCGCTTAATGAATGGAAGAAACAACTAGATCTAGTTAAGTAAGAATTTTAGCTTTGAGTAAACTTTGTGCAAAGATTTTTTTTTTTTTTTTTCTGAAAAAATATACTTTGGTTTAGTAGCGAGTTAGTGACAGAAGATCAATATGGGAGGGATGGTGAAAGTTCGGAAACATAAGTGGGATGTGAGAAAATTACAGGGTGCGTCTTCCTCCTATATGCTTTCTACGGAGTCTCGTGCGCGGGATAAGAACGCGCGTTCTAGTGAGATGTTTCTTGCGATAAATTGTGACACGTCTTGGCGCATTTGCCTGTTGCTATATAATAATGTTGCAACACACCGAGCAGGTGATCGCAATGTAAACCGATCATGTATGTTAGACTCGTGGCTTATATTCCGCGTATTTTTCGCCGTATTTTTGCGCGCAAAAAAAGTTCTTTCTCGTCGATCATTCAATCTCCATCTACTGTAATTTGCGAATCTAGCTTTACGTCACGTTCGATCGTAAAAAAACGAACAAAGTATGTGTACGTAGATAAAGAAGTTTTATATTATTACGTACACAAAGAAATGTTTTGACTACGTTCAGTAAGTTTCGTACAATCTGTATGTGATGACACACACTTATTTAAATCATTACTTTCTCTCTAACACATCTCATAGTTTGCGAAATCCTACGGATTTCTCTCTTACATATAACATGAGTATGTTTCCCGAGCACACACACTGGATGTGCATTATATATACACAGTAAAAAAATCATGTATATGTTAAGATGGAGTAACACAGTTTCTTGTGTTACTTCGTTTTGACTATTACTTCAACGTTTTTATATATTAGATTTATAGCAGCTTTATAACGTAAAATTATGTCACTTAAAAATGCAATATTATTGTTTGAACGTTAATATAGAGAATAAAATAATAAGTATGAAACGAGAGAAAAATAATTACGTTTGGGGTTAATTTTGTCGTAGGTGGTACGATCTCGATGACAGACGCCAGTGGCAAGCCGTATGTCGGCGGGGCCGGAAACGGATCGACAGCGTCAGTAGCAACATCTGGTAGCGCGGCTAGTACAGCCTCGCCCCTCAGAAGCTCCTTAAAAAAGCCGAAACCTCTCGGCATACACAATCCCGGCTTCTCAGCACACAGTCCAACTTTATCCAGAAATGGTTCGCAAAAGAAAGTGCGCATACAGACGCACTCGACAGAAGTTTAGTCAACTCTTCTTGGCACATTGTTAGCACGAAAGTTTGCTACGCTGCGACTGCGGTACACAGGGCGTGCACGATGTCACGGTCGTTCGAGCAGTATATTGCGGCAGGAAACCAACTAAGAGACGCCTACAAACTAACTTCCACGTGGCACGTGCACGTTCTAGTAACGGTAGGTAGTTTACTTGTTATTATAGTCGTTGATTCGGCGAAAGAGCACGATCAAAGATCCGCGTACCGGCAAATGACGCTGGGAAAAGTTTCCCGTTTCAATAACGCCATTTCGCGATAATGGGACTTTGATAAAAGTCAAAGGCGCGGAGAAAGAGACTGAGAATCGTTCATGTGAGTTTCGGAATATAAATAGTCGACGTGGAATGTAAATAGGTTGATATGCGCGATCGATAATCGCCGGAAACTTGGTGTAATGTAAAACTAGCCGAGTTTGAATATCAAACGAATTCACATCACACCCACAAACGTGCGATTGTGACTCATTAAGTATTACGTCAGTCTCTTCGTTTTCGTAAACGTAAACGTTTTTCTACGATATTTTTACATGATATTCGCATTCGTATAAATGACTAATAAAATCATTAGTACTGAATCGTTAAATTAATTGCAGGAAAGTAAGATGAACACATTATTTATGAAAACATAAAGTGCAGAAAAAAATAACAAATCTACAATATTTTATTATACAAGAAGAACCAAAACTTTGTAGGTTTTATAATTCAATATAACGTACAATTTTTTTCCTAAAGTGTAGCAAAATAAATTAAACTAAAACAAATTGCGTGAAATGTAAATTCTGATCTCTGTACATCACATTTGCAAGTGTTACCCACAAAGTGTCATACAATAAGTATATAATAATAAAATTCACATTCTATCTCTTCTATACACACAGTATCAATTATAATAATTCTATAAATATTTTGAATTGAAAATAAGAAACTTGATGTTGTGTGAGATCAATAAATACATGTAAAACTTTCACCATAAATATATATATAAAAGGTGTTGACAACTAATATTCTATTAAAAGCATTCTCTCATCTTACTTTCTTGCCTTTTTAAGTACATTCGTACTTGTTTATACGCCAAAAGGAAGGACTATTAATAACGTACAAAATATTACTTTTAATATAGCAAAAGTTTTCTATTTTTTTTTATTAAACTTTATGCAAAAACGAATCTGAGTTTAAAATATTATTACAAATTCGATCTCCTAATTTTAGATCTGTTTGCGTTAACAGAGATGTTTTAATCACGAAAAAGTTTTATAAATAAAATTGGGCTTTCAATTTGCTTTAGTACAGAAACGCAAAAATTTTAAAACAAGTTTTTTTTGTGATATAATTTATACAATTGTTAGTATTTTACTTTTGTTAACGAGTTATTTAATTAGAGCATATTTTTTCTCACACTGCAATAAATAATTTTTATATTTAACTAATTACTGATATTAAACACTTAAATTTAAAATTAAAGTGGTTTAAAAGGCAAAAAATACATGAGAAACATAAAGAGTTTCCGCAAAGATCGGGACTAAACTTATACAATGTGTTAATAAAATTAAATATAGGTAGACAAATTTACGTATACACTTATAACAATGTTTTGTTAAAAAGTTATAGACGTTTCTTCCGTGCAGGCTTTTGTTTGTTGAACTAATGACTGTCGAACTCTTTCAAATATTACTGTACTTGAAATAGTAAGTCAGCAGTTCCATAGAATTACCTATGCTGCTTGTAAATGCTTTTCTTGTAAGCATTGTCACTAATGTTTACTCAAAAATTGTTAAATTGTTTTTTTACCATTTGATTTCTTTTTGATGTTTTACGTCTACCAGATCTTGAGCGGCTTTTAACGCTATCAATGTCCTCGAAACGTTGAATAGTACGGATTACAGTACTTTTAGAGATCCTATTATTTTCATTCCGAAAATTTTCATTAAATAATTGCGTTACTGTTTCCATTTAAAAAAATAAGGTTGACCTTGAAATGACCTTAAAGGACATGGTCAAGATCAAAGTCAAGGTCATCATCTTACTCTTCGCTTGAAACCATACAACTTTACTATTGGACATTTTCTCCAAAATGCATTCTAACTGAAGATATTAGGGGGGTCCGATACTTTTCGATGACCCTGTATAATGCGTATAACGTCTAAGAAAGTGACATTTCTATTTCTATACTATGTAGACGAATCTAAGCCACAAACATCTGTATGCACTATTTCCAGTGTGGTTTAGTTGCTCTATTTTTTTCCGTTTCAAAATTTGCTTCCTGATTTGTTTTGTTCGCACGTAAAAAAATATTTACTTTGTTTACAAAACAGTTTTAAGGCTCTTGAAATTCAAACAACGCGAAATTTTCAGTCAATGAGAGCCATACGCTGGATGTTTGTCGCGTATTTTGTGTATGTATATTGGATCGTTCGGAAAGTAAGTTTGTTTTTTTCCAGAAAAATGTGAACGACAATTTTTAAATAGTGTAGTAATCGATACATCGATACATCGATATCGACTACTATCGACTGTCATTAGCAACCGATACACAATCATTCATTTATTAACAACAAATATTCTCTTGTTCAGTTGTATATCAGGCATTCCAAGTTCATTCATGTAATCATTCACACGTTCAAATAAACCGACTCAAGTTNAATTAAAAAGAATTAATTTAATTTATTCTTTGTGAGTGAACAAACATAACAAATAGTTTATAATTATTTTATTTAATTATAGATTCAATACATTTTGCCATTTTTCTGGTAGTACCATGATTCCACGCTCGTAAAACTTTTGATCTTTGCTTGCAAACAACTGATTCAAATGATTTTTGACATCCTCATTTGAACTAAATGTTTTGCCGTCTAAAATTACGTAAAGTTGTCCTGAACTTCTCGGATCGCTTTACATTCTAAGCAATTTTCATTAGTATAGTCACTAATTGCATCAAAAATTCCTTCAATCATTGCGCGCTTGATCCACAGAATTACATTCACTTGGGCTATAGATTTCGTCTCTGGAATACGTGATGCAAAAGTTTCACTTATTGGCATTGCTCTTGTTAATGCTACATTGGCCACTCTCTAATAGTTGTATTTAGCTTCACTATACATTAATGCCATACTCAATAAGAGTTTGTGGTTAGCATCGTCTTCCTGCCAAAGCGATTCGGTCTTGCGGTCGATGTGGATGATGCGCCTGGGTCTACCCATGATTTTTTGCGCTTGGGATTCTCAAAATAAATCCACTTTTCATCTCCAGTAACGATACGATGCAAAAAAGACTTTCTTTTGTATCGTTTGAGCAAAATTTTACATGTGTTTTTTTTTGCGCTTCTCCATCTGCCTCTCGTTCAACCCATCTGCCGATCTTCTGAATCTTTCCCATCTCTCGTAGGCAATTAGAAACAGTTTGTCGACTAACATTCAATTGCTCTGTGAGTTATTTTTGTGTTTGTGATTTATCTTCGTCTAACAATGTCTGCAATTCCACATCTTGGAACATTTTTGGCGGTTTTCCGTGTTCCTTGTCCGCAACATCAAAATCATCACTTTTGAAACGCCGAAACCATCGTTCACACGTATCTCGTGATGGAGTATGTTCACCATAAGCTTCTCGAAGTATATCGGTGTGATTCAGCAGCAGTTTTCTTCAAATGAAAACAAAAAATTAGTGCTGTTCGCGAATACTCTTAATTTGGTATAAATTTCGACATATTAAACACAGCAACACAAAACTATGCAAACACTTTTTCAATTTATGCTACCCCTGCTGACCCACCAGTCAGCTATGGCTGACATAGCCGGTTTCAGAATATAGTTTTTTGCCCCGGTTCAAAGTGTTACGAGTACGGGTGGATCGGGCCACTGTATAGAGGAGGCCCTTGCCATATACACCGCCGAGTCTGCGGTTGCATATTCAGAACCCGCCACGTATCACGAAGTTTCCGAGTACGAGGCTCCCAGATTATTAACGGTGAGGGCAAACGTTTGTGACTCAAACATATCCCAGGCTGGGTGTATGGGTGTATACCTGAGTCGGCCGCGGTATTTGAATAATCTGATGTACTACTGTGTCCAAAAAGTAAGGTGACATTGCATTTATTTCGAAAATTTTTTATTTATTCTTGCAAATCAATTTCGTCCCCTTCAAAGTAATCCCCCCCTGATATAATACACTTATTCCAACGGATTTTCCAATCTTCGAAACA